CATTTGCAACGCAGCTCGACAACTTCACGTGGATGACGTATTCAGCGCCGATGAAACATTCATTCAATTCTACCGGCACGACCGTGTCCTTGTGCCTGTTGGTACAAAGTTCGTAACGTTGTTCGGCAACATTTGCTTTGTTCAGACGCTCGATGACATCTTCTCCCGTTCACTCTCTTTGTCCATTACTACTGCCGCTTCATGGATTGTGTAATTGCTTTTGCGATCGCCTTCAGCTCCTGTGTGGGTGCACATTGCATCTAGTGTCAGCATTGCCACGGCAGCGTCGGCGGCACCTTCGCTCTTTTCTCATGGTGAATTCCATTTCTACATCCTTCTTGGGACATTTTTGGCAGGTCTGGCCCTGTGGCACTGTTACACCTCATTTGCCACCACTGGGCGCTTCAATCAGTCGCGACGGTTATGCAAGTCGGTTTACTCGAACAGTGGCCCAACGTGCCGCGTAGCGTTCCATCCATCTTAGCAGTTAAAAGTGTCTTTATTGGAATAGTTAAATTTCGAACCGCCTGCTATCGGTAGCACGAAAGTGTGAAGGTGTGGGCGGTTTAGAAAGCGATGTCAAATCACACTGAACCGGACACATTCACTTGGGAGCTTGAGTCTTCACGGGGCACATGGAGCTGCGGTGTGACTGAAAATGTGGTCGAACAAGTCGGAAAATTGCCCTTGAAACCATAACTTGCCAAAATGGCTAAGTATATGGGTCTTGATGTAGTTGGCCGACAAGATCTTGACCCGTTGGAAATATGGTTCTTGAATGTGGCCTAAGACCAGCTCATTTCGGCGGAGCCAAAGCATGCGCAGGACAACACTTCGGGTGATGTGGAAAAGGGTCGTGATGTCTTCATGGGCTTCAAGTGGCGCTTCAGGGGCAGGGGTCATGTAGGAGCCATAGACTATTTGTTCCCAAGTGATGGAATGCTTGACCAAACTCGCTAAACCTTGAAGGAAAATGTCCCAGTTGTTTGGCCTTCAGGGCATAGCCAAATAAGTTCTTCAATGACTTCAGTGACAGGGGGCCTTGCACTTGAGGGACAGTAATTCGCCGAGACAATGGCGGAGCCAGCACTCGACGCGGTATGATTGAGAGCAGGTCTTCTCGCCAAGTACTGAGTCGAGGGAGTTTGGCCAGAAGCTGTCGTGCTGAAGTCTTGTACTAGTAGCTTTTAATTTTTCTTGTCCGCAGGAATTCAGATAGACTTGCTTCTGTGGGATTGCTGTTGAAGTGCTGGCGACAATCCTCCATGGACAAAAGTCCGTGCGAGACGTAGAGCTTCGACACCCGGCATGCCGCGAGAAGGTTGACACTTGAAACGGTGGTTGCCAGTTCTGCGTCGAGTCAGAGGGGTGTGTTGCCTGGAATTGTCGTTTTGGAAGTTGAGTCTTCGCGAGGCAATGTAGTCGTGTCAAGTACGCAACACAGTTGACCAGAAACGACCAAGTGAGAGCAGAAAATCGGTGCTTCGCGCTTGCCTTGGAATGGGAAGGAATAGAATAACCCGCCCATGGTCAGCGGGCGACACAATTTGGTGCATGAGGTCGAAAATGGGGTCCAACTAAGGCAAAACGGTAGTTGACGCGCCTTGTAGTGCAAGAACGTTGACCATGGTGCGGAACCCGGGCAAATTGATGCTGGTGGCAATGTTTGGCATGCCTAGGCCGCCTTGAGAGCACGGCCGGTGTAGCCAAGTCTTGGGGAGGTGGTTTGCGACGAGCCCTTGCTTGTGGAGTCGGCCATATACAAAGTCGAGGGCAATGTCTTCAATTTCCGACACCACTGAGTCAGGGACGTGGCAAGTAGCCGCAGTGTACCACAGCAGGGGAAGCACCATGGTCTGCTTATGATCACATGGCAATGCAAGGTTCTTGTGCGGTACTTCCAGAGGTTGCAGCGACTTAAAGTTGCTTGAACTATAGCGCGATACCGGTCTTCATCAGTGATGTCCGGTCCTTCTTGGATTC